TCTTGCTTAAAGCGATCACATCATTTCAGAGTTTTCTGAGTCTGTGGTTGAACACGTTCTCATTCTGAACTTCAGCGACTCTGAAATCATGGCCTTCTGTTGTTGTTTTAACCAACTAAATATTTGACTGTTACTGTGGTTTTTTTACTGTTGACTTCACTGCTTCCTACTGGCATGGGTTTAGCCACTGTATGGTGTCCTGACTGTGCATGACTTGTATTTTAATACGGAACATCGTTGTCTAACAGACGGAGTTCAGCAGAGAGAAGAAAAAGATGCTGGAGGTTTTTTTTTGGTTTTTTTTTAACTGCATGTTTTTTATTTTTATCCTGAGCAGCTGCTTCATTGAATTTGTTTTGGTGATGGAACTTGTTCAGTTAATATGGAGATGAAAAAAAAAAAAAAGGCTGACAGCTGAATTTTTTTTTCTCTTTTTCGAGTGAGTCTTCTCTGTCTTCCACTCGAGCGTCGACGTTTCTTGTCGGTGGTTGCATGTCGTTGGGAGTTTGTCCGTAGTTCAACACCTCGGTGTTTCTGTCAGCAGTGTGCATGTTTGTTCAAACCACATTTCCAGAAAAGTTTTAAATAAAACATCTGTAATATGTTGACATGGTTCCTAAAGTGAGGGGCGCCCCCCATAAGGTGGCACGTAGCTTTTGTTTTTGCCTCAGAAATTTAAACCGCTCTGATTGGTAGTTCCCATTCCTTCACTTATTAAGAATATGATATGATATCATGGAAAAAGTCTGTGAAGCACTGAGATTATTGGACCCAATTTATTAGTAATGGGTCAAAGAGAAGTATTGATTATTGATCACAGTGGTCATTAAACTGATGGACTTATTTCTCTTCATTGAAATTCTATAAAAAACAAGCTTGTATTTCCTGATAACTATAATTAAGTATTGGCAAGAATCTGTGGATACGATACAGCAATGATACGATGTATTGCAATATATTGTGATACTATAGGCACAACCATATAGTGAGTACTTTTTAAAAAAAAAAATCGATCATGAGCACTCGCATTTTTAAGCTGGAAAAAAAAATCAGTTTCAGGAAAAATGTAATGCTTGCAGGATCTTCTGCTTCTTTGAATTGTCTCTTTTTTTTTTCTTTTTTTTTTACCAAATTTAAAGGCTGTAGGAACTTTTCTGACAATGTGGTTTCCAAAGTTGTACTTCTCTTCACCTGGAGTAAAACTCTGTGCTTTGAAGGAGTCAGTTTCCCGTGTGTTGCCAGTGTCTCCATGTAAGTGGATCAACTACAGTTCACACTTTGTCTGCTTTTCTGTGTTCCATCTCATCAGCGTTGTCCTCAATATATATATATAGAGAGAGAGAGCTCCATATATGGGCCTATATATATAGTCGTCCCTGTCTCAGTGTCTGTGTGTCTGTTGCAACATGCTGTAAATAGTCACACTCCAGAACAACTGTCTGACACGGAGCAGCCAGCGTCTCCTTCAGCTTCTGACACGAATGTTGAGCCAACTCTGTTTGGTCACATATGTGTTTCCATATATGTGTTTCCATATATGTGTTTCCATATATGTGTTTCCATATATGTGTTTCCATATATGTGTTATGTTTCCATATATTGTTTCCATATATGTGTTTCCATATATGTGTTTCCATATATGTGTTTTCATATATGTGCATGCTCGTCTGTCTTTTTTTCATTTTCTTTTTTGCTCAAACGGTGGTGTTGAGGTTTCTACCTGGTCCCATTTACACAGCAGTAAGAGTTAATGAAGTTTTCACGTGGTACAAAAATCTGGTGTTTCAAAGGCGTGTATAAATACACTTGGCAATAAATACAAAACTCTAAGGATTTATTTTAATAAATCTGCTCCTTTATCCAGGACTGGATTCTTCTTCTTGTTTTCAAACCATAACGTGACAGAGAAACGATGTGAAAAGCCAACAGTCAGTCGGCTGATTTTGATATGTTTGACTTTTTTATTTTTTGTTCATTGGATCATTAATATCAGTAACCAATGAATTACTGCCGTTAACATTTTTGCCTCAAAACAAAGTGTGGCAGACAGGGACGTCCCCCAGAGACCATGTAGAACCTTAGAGACACTACATCAGCTGTTTGTTCAAGGCTGTGTGTGAATGTATTTGTGTGCGATTTGATATATATGTGTATATATTTATATATGTGTATATATGTATATATTTATATATATGTATATATGTATATATTTATATATGTGTATATAGGTATGTATTTATATATGTGTATGTTTATATGTGTTTATAGGTCTGTGTATAAATATACATACATATATATATTGGGTTTTTTTTTTTAGATTGTTACAGGGAGTGAGAGCGTCATCACAGCCGCAGAGTTTTAGTCTGAATTATTTTGAACACAGAAGTGCAGAAGTCGTTGTCGACCCCACCAGTGGTGCAGCTCTGCATGCAGAGGGGGAGGGGGGGGGTCAGGGGGTTTGTGTCGTGTTCTAACAGTGTGTCATCATCACTGCATGAGTGTGTGGAAAATAGAATTGAGTGTGTTTTAGTGTGTGTCTGTGCATGTCTGACACCAACCAACACTGCTGCTCTCTCACACACACACACACACTCACTCACTCACACACACTCGTCCACTGCCTCTGCTCTGTGTTCTGTTCTGGCCGGGGTCATGTGTTCATGAACATGGTGTGGTTGGATGTAGTTTTTGGCTGATTTTGTGCTGGGTGGCCTGCAGTGGAGGGTGGTCAGAGCCTCCGTGTCCCAGTTTGAAGAATGAACACCTCCTCTGTTTGCTTTGGATGGATTTGAAAAATTCTTCTTTTGTTTTGGTTTCTTTTTTTTTTTTTATCGCTATCAGTACTTTCCGTTTCTGCATGGATCGGCTCAGGAAAGTCTGTGGAGCAACATGTGCAAGTGTCGGTTTTTTACGTATGTTTGCGGGTGGAAAATGTGGAAAATGTCCCGAGAAGAAACAGCGATTTTTACTTTAAACATTTCCAAAACCTTTGACTCTTCTGTCCTTTCTTGTCCCGTCATCCTGTCACTGCCAGTCATGTCGGTCTGTGGTTCACGTTGGAAACTTGTCTGAATCAGTCCTAACAGTTTTTCTATTCCCTCTTCTCTCCGTCGTCTGAACTGTGTTTCATCTTTCCTTTTTTTCTCCATCTTCATTATTTTTTAATTTCCTGTCTTTTTTTTTTACCACTTTCTTCAGTCAAATCTTTTTGTGGTGACAGATTTTTTTTAATAACCAAAAAACAAATTATAACGTCCGTCCACCCACAACCATTTTTCAAACACTCTGGACTGAACCTCCTCACGCTAGAACCAGACCAGAATAATTCTCTGCAGCCTTTGCTTTTGTGACGGACGTTTTGGATTGATTACTAATTAGCTGGGTATTTGTTCTTGTTTTTTGGGGGGTGAAGGGGGGGGGGGGGGGGGGGAGGTTGTGGAGAAGTACTAAAATAAGTTTCCCCTCCTCTTATCTCCATTCTCCTGTTCCATGACCTTTGTTCTTTAGAGCACCAAATAACTTCCTGTCACTGTCCTGATTGTTCTGACGCTCGACGCTCCGTTCAACAGCGAGAGCTCCCTCCCATCCTCTCCCCCCTTTTCTCCTTCCGTCTCTCACACCTTGTTTCGAGCTGTAACACTGCTGTCAGGTTTTTTTTTATTTATCACTGAGTGAGGGCGGGGTGAGGGGGGGGGTAGCATATAGGTTTCATTTGTTACTAGGAATATTTGTTCCTTTATTTATTATATTTTTTCTGTTTCCCTGACGACTTCTGTGTGTTGTTGTCAGTCTCCACGGTAACAACTCGCTGTTTCTACGGCAACGGTAAGTTTTGTACAATCATCTATCACTGAATTGACCCCCCCACCCACACAAACACACACACAAACACACACACATATACAAACACACCCCAGAAATGGGCCTTTAATTAAGGATCACGTCCACAATCGTGTATTTGCAAAACAAAAAAATTATTTTTTGAACCGAGATTAAATCTAAAAGTCTAGTATCATTCTCTGACCACACAGTGGACACAGAACCAGTCGGGCTCTGTATTTTCTCCACATGCCCATTTGACCGCCCGTCACGTCGTTAACGCCCGACTGCGACTGACCAAATGTAATCATTCTCCTCCACGCGGTCTCGCAGCGATCCCCCCCCCCCCGCTCCAGCTGATTAATTCTCTGTTTGACTCGACACGCGCAGCTTCACCTCCTCATAATTAATTACAATCAACAAATGATGTCAAGCCATCACTTCCTGCCTACGAAGTGGGAGCCGCCACAGAAGGGACCAATGGCGTCGCTGTGGTTTGAATCGTTTTTTATTTCAGTAATCGATGTCCACACAGTAGACACGATGGACGGTCGAGGTGGGAACAATCTGAGCTGCAGCTGTTCAAAAACGAAAATGAAAAAATAAAATTAAAATGTACATAAATGTTTAACCTACCTTTACGTACTAGAAAACAACTGCAAAAATGGAAAAAAATATATATAAACATTGTATGCAAAACGTACAGTGTTGTACTGAGATTAAGGCAATTAATTCAGTTGAATTAATATTTTCTAACTAATTCAAATGTTGTTTTTGTAAAAAGCTAAAAAAAAAATTTACAGTTACACATTTCCTCGAATATTCAAAATTTTTTTTTTTTTTACAAAAACATAATTTCCCAGGACGTTATGTATAAAACTCAACTCACTCATCATTATTTAGTCGTGTATCAATTCTCCAAACAGACGATGTTATTATTACTCATCAACTCAGTGTCGTGTGTCATGTGACCCGTCATCTTCCACACAGCGTCTTATGTTTCCAAACAATCCACCACAAATGAAAAAAAAAAGAAAAAAGAAAAGGACACCCTATCCCATAATGCATTGTACTACTACATGATCCTGTGCAGGTCTAACGTCTGTGAGTAGTCAGGTGGTAGAGAGTGAGTTCTAGACCCGACCACGGCGTCGTGTCACCATATGCATCTTTAAACCGATCTGGGGTTTACCTCGCAGTGTGTTGGGGTTTCTCTTATGCTGCCTTTGTTTTTGTTTGTTTGGTTTTTTTTTCTCTCTTCTCTTCTCTTCTCTCTCTCTGTTTTGGTTTGGTTTTTCTCGTAGTGAATTGTCTGTGTACTAGTAATTGTAGTAGTAGTCGTAGTTGCAGTGTACTAGTCTGGGTTTGTGACACACACACAGTTCTAATGCCTGGCATAGTAACTCATGTTTATTTTATTTTTAATTTCTCTCCTTTTTTGGGAATGAGGATTGCTCTCTCTCACTTACACTTGCTCTCCCTCACCATCTCTCTCTCCCTCTCTCTCTCCCTCTCTCTACCTCTCTCTCTGCTCCCTTCATCTTTTTGGTGCTCTGTTTCTCGACCCACCACATATAATGATATTTTCAGGAGAATGGTCACCAAATCTAATTGCTTTATTTGAATGATGCACCTTGATATATACATGTTGTGTTTTTTTGTTTTTTTTTGTTTTTTTTAAAAAAGTACTTGTTTTTCTTTGGTTGCTCATGTAAACCTTTCTCCCTTCTTTTTCTCTCTCTCTCTACATACCTCCTCCCCCTCCTCCCCTCTCCTCCTCCCCCTCGCCCCCTGTTTTTGTACATGGACTGGCTCTGTCTCTCCTCACATTGCATCCCTTCCTCCCCCCTAACGTTCCTGTCCCATCTCCGTCCTGTATGTGTTTGTACGTGGGAGTTCTGTGATCGTTTTTTAATTGGTCTCTATGCTGCATCCAAGGCTTGCTGATTGGCTGAGCTTTTTATTTATTTACTTTTTCTTTTTTCTTTTTTTTTCTTCCGTTTGTTTGATACTCACTCTTGGGCATGCGTTCCGCCCATATTTGGCTGCGTGTAATTTCTGTGTTATACGATTATTGATTTTGTCGAACAAATGTTTTTGCACCCCCTTTCTCTCCCCCTCTCCCTTGTATTTATTTCCTTTTTTTTTTCTTTTTTTTTTTTTTTTGATTTTTACCACAAGTTTGGTTTCATATGGAAATGTGGTTTTGTCCAGTTTTATCTATTTGTCAGGAAGGGGTGGGAAGGCAGGACGACGAGGGGATCAGAAAGTGTTCACTATTTGAAAACCTTGGTTGATTCGCATGCGTTACCCGATAATCAGTTAATGTATTCACCAAAAAAAAAAAAACAGAGTAGTTTGGCTGGTTTCATGGCTTATATTCTAAAGAGACACAAACAAAATATACACCATATCATCTATGGCCACTAGAGGACACTGTCTAAACGCTGCTAGTGCACCACTTAAAAAAATGATGCGACTAACAACGTAACTATAAAAGATATTTTAAAAAAAGCACTTCCCTTCATCTTTAAAACCTTAAAGAAAGAATTCAACAAAATTGTGACCAAAAACAAAAAGTCGACAAACTTATAGATAATCAAACAAAGAAAAAATAAACCAAAGAACCAGTGCTGAGTGTGACGATGTCCCTACAGGGCAGGAGATGGAACTTCATCTTCCTGGATGGAGAGTTTCGAAGGATTAATTTATACAGAATAATATCAAGAACCATTAAGGCAAAATATATTATTATATTATGTTAAAATGTTCTTTAAAATATTGCATCTTTAAATGTTGTTTTTAAATTCCTTTTTTTTTCTTTTTTTGACCTTGAACGCGCCTCATCCAAATTCCAAGAACTACACCTTTAATCTGATCCTCGTAACCCATTCCCTTTATAGTGGGCAATATAGCGTAGTCACCGAGGGGCGGCCGGGTCGAGTTAATTGAACCGATGGCCACTCACCTCGTGGCTGCAATGAGGCCAAGATGAGGTAGAGCTCTCAGAGAGAGAGAGAGAGAGAGAGAGAGAGACTCACCAGGAGGGGGAGACACATAGAGCTGTCCAGGGCCTTAATGCCCTCCTCCAAATGAGTGCTGAGGGGTAAGTAAACACCAGCGCTGCGATCCGACCTCTCCCTGGATCTTTATTATGCAGGAACACAGTTTCCCTCGGCGCGGACTAAAGGTCGTAAATCTCGGGCCTATCAGACGCTCAGATACGAAGCGTTAACCGCTCGGCCGCTGTAGTCCCTGTTATTACTCGGAGCTACAATCTCCCGCTCTTAGAACCCATCAGGGGGAAGATGAGGACAGATCAAGAGAGCAGATTGAAGAAATTCACGGCCATCTTAGTCGGCGCACCTCCCCGAAATGTCAGCCATTATACTTCACCATTAAAAAAAAGAAAATCCAAACTTTTCTTTTTTATTATCTAGGCATGACCAAAACACACAGCGACATTTCCTTTGCTCCGTGTGGTCACCACAGCAACATGAGCGTGGTCGGCCCTTATCTTCTCCCCACAGTGAGTCACCAAATCCCTGCTGGGTAATTTGGCTTTAATTGCACAATGACTCAAACAAAAAAGCCCAAAACAATTACTGTCCACTTCAACGAGCAAACAAGAACTCGTTGGACAACAGCAAACGCCCCACCGCACACACACACACACACACAGATGACAGGGCTACAAGCGCGCTGTCAAAGCAAACACGGCATCATTAAAACAATTAGAACGTTAATTATTGCCTCAACTATTTATCGGCAAATTCAGATTATTGTCTGTGGCCCGAGAGCTTTGACTTGAAACCAGCCGCACAGTCGAGCGCGAGGAATAAAAATGAGTCGTTTTCCAGTTTACAAAACAAAACAGAAAAAAAACAGCTGTAAATGAAGCAGAAATAAATAAATAAATGTCGATTAAACAGACAGTGAAGGTAAAACCCAAGCCGCCGTGTCAACCTCAGCCATGGGATCTAGTTATTTGTGATCTACAGTGTGTGCTGCTTTACTCTCCTCTCTTGAACTGTGCTGTCTGTGTCTGTGACCGTCTGCTGCTTCGTCCCCAGGTGAATAACGCCACTGCCAGGGTCATGACTAACAAGAAAATCGTCAGCCCTTATCCTAACGGAGAGGCTCTCAGCGCGCTGCCTTATGGTAACAATCAAACTGACACACACTAACAATGAACCGCAGCCTGCACTGTCATCCCAACAACACAGGGGGCGAGGAGGAGGCGGCGGCGGCGATGGCTGACCCGCACTGAGTCCGCACCACTTGTTTACTTGTTTACACCACCCTATAACACCAACAGGTTTAACAGTAAATGTGATCAGACTCACGATAATGAAGATGCCGTTGTGTTTACATGATTCTGTGTTTTTTCAACCTTTAAAAAATAAATATGACATAGAAGCGGAGTTTAACTCGCAACTCACAGTTTAACTGAACCACAACAGATCAAAAAAAACATGACCAAAAAGAAAAGTAAAAGACAAATCCAACATCGTATAGATGACGTCAACCTTTAAGGAAGGTGTTCATGTTGCTTTTTACTTGTAATTATATTTTGAGCACAACTTTAGAGACGATCAGTTTGAAGTATTTGCTGCCCCCCTCTGTCCGCTGTTGTGAACATGCAATGGATCACGAAGATGAAAATCCGCACCACAGCCACCACACAAACACGACATGAGCAGCTCATGTTTTTT